ATACATAAATTGTAATAATATTCACATACAACAAAAAACAACGATTGTCTCTTAAAATTACCATGTATTTTTTTAAATAAAATAATTTATTTATTCTATTCTATTTTAAATATAGATACGCGACGAAGTGTGCGTCTGTTTGTAACATTTCATCAGGGGGTCGGACGAGACGCCCTATTGCAGTATAGTTTCCGCTCCACATCTTTTTGATTTCAAGTACACAATCAAGGCTCGGGCGGGCTCTTTCAGTCATTGGTGGTTGCTAACAGTGTTATGATGAATTGTATAACGCGTTGCGAAAATAAAACCACTTTCGGATATGATTACAGAAACAGGAATTGTTGTTGCGTATTGTATTTACGTGTTTAGACATGATTTATGACAGTAATAGTATAGTATAGTAGTATAGTAGTATGGATGATAATGCCATTCGGCGGCAGTAGTTTGAGTATGGTTGGATGTTTGTTACTCTATCACGCAGGTGAAACCACGGGCACTGCTAGTATATATATACACGCCAGATTTACGGGGTAGGCAGAGTGAATACATTGGCATTGACTTGTAATTCTACGCACAAGTCTTGGCTAAGAGGAAGGGATTGATACTAATCGGGACTATTAGTAAAAAATGAATGAAAATAGAGACATGCTTGTATAGACGTCTTTTATTGCAGATCGTAGTGACAGCACCAATATAAAACAAAAAGTATATAAAGAACATCATATTTTTAATATGGATAAAATAATATTTAAAAACTGCCAGTGACTCTCATTGTAGGTCTAACACTATTAGACTCATTGTTTTATGCGTGATAATATAATATATCGATGATAATGATAGTAGAGCTATATAATATGATGTAATGTAAATTGGACTCTATTTTCCACAATCAGCCTCTCAAGCTATATATAAGACAACGGCCCAGTATACATAAATGGTATGTATATAGCTCAATGAAAATAGAGTCCAATTTACATATATTATAATTTATATATATAAGCGCCAGCTAGTCTCAAGCTAAGCAGAGCTTGTGTTATCGGTACTAGACACCTGATATAAACATTGGAAAATGAGGTTGTGTTGAACGGCTGCTCCACTGATTCTCAAACACTTATTTACTACTATACCTACGCGTACAATAGTACTTATTGCATTTGCTATAATATATATACTATTATTGTATTTATACTAATGGAAGTAATAAATACAATAAACATTGTCAACAGTCACATGGGAACCACGTTCACTGCCTTGATGTAATAATAGGGTGACCATATTTAATGTACAAGCATGGATTGTTTATTTTTTTATTCCACCAATTATTACATATTCGGAACGCATACGCATCATAAGAGGAAAGAGCAGGTAATTTATGTGTTGAGGGACACGCAAGTTTCTTCAACCAAAATACAGCTTTAATCAGTTTATAAAGACAAAAATAGATGAGATCGAAGTGCACACGACAACGACTAACACAAAGTCTACTTCGATTAAATAATAATAACACCGGACAATTTACACAGCGCCATCTAGTCCTAAACTAAGCAGAACTTGTGTTATGGGTACTACACAACTGATACTTAAAAGCATTTTATGGTAGATACATACCTAATATACATAGACAACACCCAGACCGATATAAACGATCATACTCGTGAGTACAAATGTTTGTATTGTGCGATTAGAACCTGAGACCATCGGAAGTAAGGCTGTGTGCTATATCACTAGACCACTGAGGCCGAAACTATTACGGCATTGCAAATAGAGCTATAAAAAAGTGAAAATGTTCATATTTTGTTTATAAGTACATTACAGCAATATGGGTGTTCACTATTTTTTTTATGTATATTGCAAATTGAGTCACTAAAAAGTAAGCAATAAACGAATAAAGTTTGCGTGATAGCAAGACATAATCACAAATGTTTATGTATGTGCAAATGTGTCAGACAGACAGACTGCGCAAATATCTCAATATTATGAAAAGTATGCATGTCACTTAACTACTTGTTTTGATGTAACATACACTATTTGTCAATATTGAATTCCGTCCATACTTTTTAATGGATGATAATGGAATGATGCACCCGCCTGCGCTAACGGTTTGCGCTGGCGGGGCGCCAGTGGAGGATGATAATATGAGCATGTCAGGTCAGTTAGCCCATCGTGGTAAATTCACCAGAAATTTATATATATTATACTTTATTGCACTTATAAATACAAGATTTCAAAAACAGGTTAGAAATTTCGTTATCAAAGGAGAACTTATCTCTAAAAGAGATCTCTTCCAGTCAACCTAAAAAGCTTGAGTTACACAGGAAGTGGAGTGAGGGTCACAGAAGTGCAAGAATAAGAATAGAATAGAAAATTATTTATTCAAATTTAATTGAAGCACTTTTGAATAGTCATAGTTATCATTCTTTTAATCTACCGCTCATTCGGAATGCTGTCTCATCAACAGATGAAAGAGCAAGAAACTTGCGTGTTTTTCTTTTAAATAATCATTGTAATTTTACATTTCCAATTTGAAACGTGCGAATACAAACCACCAACTAGCACCAAATAATGATAGTAAGAAAAAACTAAAATAAAACAAATAACTAAAACTAAAGAATTAAAGTTCAATACAATATATAATTACAAACAAAATATAGATATTTAATACGTTACTTACATATCACGATGGTTTCTAGGGATCACGTGTATCTACCTGACATGGCTGATACATTGGTAGCAATGGGGTTATCAGTTCAAATTACTGACTAGCTGTACAAGCGACTTCGTCCGCGTGGAATTTAACTTCATTTTTCTAATAGAAAGGAGTTTTTCTAAAATAAAGTAGCCTAAGTTACTCCTTATAACATCAGCTACCTGCTAAAAAGGTCCCGTGAAAATCGGTTCAACGATTTCAGAGATTAGCCGGAACAAACAGATCGATAGACAGACTCTCGGTCATACTCGTGGTCTAGCGGTTTAGCGGACCTCCTTTCTTACAATAGTCGCGGGGCCAATCCTCGCACAATGCACCAACAACAAACAAACTTTTGTATTCATAAGTATTATTGTTTGTATTCGACTAGATGTTTACTATATATATATTATGTATGTATTAATAAAAAAATGTATTTAACGATTTCTGTCAGTTGTTTAGCATATACACCCAAAAGATATACCCTGCTCAGCTTGAAAGTTGATGGCACTATTTGAATACCGAATTATCTTTTTTTTTATTCAGACCTACTTTTCCCAGATATAAACATTCAGGTTTTTTTTTATTTTCTCACAAGTTAATATAACGTTCACACTATCTTCCCTACCTAATAATTAACTTCTTAAAACGTACAGACTATTTTCTATGGGTATTTATTGATATATTTTTGGGTTTTTATATATTTTACTACACAATTACTTTTTAAGATTGTTACCGAATTATCTTAATTTATTAATATTATTATAATAAACTAGCTGTAATTTAAATAAGAACGGAATTTAATGAAACTTTGCAGTAATTTATTTATTTTTTCGTTTTATTTATTTATTTAATTCAGGCTACATGGCCCATATTATAAATACCTTATAGACTAACATACATAAGAAATAATAATAAAATATGAAAAATAAAATTGTCTCTATGGTCACGGCACTGACGACGGCAATCTGCCACGGTAGCGCCGATAGAATCGGCCAGTAGTCCTCCTTCATGAAGGTGGGCAGCATATTGGTGGGGACCAGGGCCACGAACGCTTTGAAGCTCGCGTTGTGGCTCGATTCCGAATATAGATATACATCCGAATATCGCATAGGCTACAATTAAAAAATAAAATATATGTAAATTGGGCGAAATATAATGATAAATGTGAAATATAATATAAGTAAGTGTGATGCAGACGAAGTAGCGCGGGGCAGCTAGTAGGCTATAAATGTAATGCGGGTAATACAGCAAGCATATAATATTTGCGCCCTATCACCTCACACCATGAATATTTGCAAATTCTGCAACAATTTTTAATACAATAATCTCTGTACACTCGCCTAGAATTCTTTCGCAATTTTTTTCGACTGTTGCACGGTCAATCACCGTACATTTTAGCGCATCGCCGATATTTAAGACACACACGCAGACTTTGTTTTTGTAATTTTATTATTCAGTGTGCACATTTGTCACGCGAACTCTCCGCCTCTCATATATTAGTAATTCACAATTCGTATTAGGTATTTCTATCAACAAAATGCAATTATTCTATATTCTATATATTAATTTATTGCATTAAAGAGATTTTAATTCTTACAAACGAAATTTTCATACACATATTCCCGTTTGAAGGATGAGAAATCACAGAGTACGGCGGCATGATACCTAGTCGTCAGAAATGGCAAAGCATGAGTCAGATGACGATATTAAAAGTTTATTATCTTTATGTATAAAAATTACGTGTCACGTTGTTTGTCCGCGATGGAAATGAACTACTGACCGATTGCAAATTTGATTTGTTCATTTGTGCAGTTTGATCCAATTTAAAAGATACATCTCAATTTATAGTCGCAATATTATTTAATTCAAGAACCTTAACCACAGCAACGCGTGCCCGGGTGTGCAAGTTATACATAAAAAGGAGTTCAAATGAGAATTAAAAGCATTCCTATTAAAAACATGTTTATACTCAATTGTTGAACTATAATAATGGACTATTGACATTTGAAAACAATATATCAAATCATGATAATAAGTTTATGTACTATATATTATAAATTGCATTAGTATCGACACATCGTGCGCTACTAATGAAATAAATGAATGATATCATTTTTTAAGTGCTTTTCATCAGTAGTCATCAATTGAGCGTGTGGCACATTTCACAAAAAAGATTTTTGTATATACAACTACACATTCACTGCACTATCTAGATAAGCCCACTTGTCTAATAAGTTGAGAAATAAACACAATTTATATCCCAATACGGCGTTAGGAAAATATGGTAACTTTATGTAACACTGTTGCGCAGAATCGGCGGCCGCGGTGGGAGGTTGCAAGCCGGCGGCGCAAGCGCAGCGACGCACGCAGCCTCAGGAAAAGATCAGGTTGGTATCATAACATTTCCTATCACATTTGTTCGAGACACACCGACCGGGGTGGACGTGCGCGCCTTATCACTGTTTACAGATAATCATAATTCGTACGTTGTGATAGTGCTTAGTGATATTTTGTGGTCTATTGTGTTTACGGCTGTAAGACCTTGATGCAGTCAAGCATTGTGAGTGTGGTTATATGCTCTTGTTTATATACGTTTTGTGGTAATTTTAGTTAATTATGCTAATTATATGTACCATCTGTCACAATTACAGTACCTACTATTATTATTGTTGGGACTAACCAATAAGGTTTTGACAAAACATGAATTGTTAACAGTAATTTTATAAATGCTAAAATGTGTCTTATATAGATGTTTATTTGTTACATTTTTAGTTAAACGGCAGAACGAATCATCATCTAAATTTGGTATTAAGAGAGAATGCATTACAAAGACAAATATAGGATGTCTTTTATCTCGAAATAAAGTAGACGAAATTGCGGGTAACAAATAATATGTTGCTTTAAATTGGGAAAATAATTATTGTCAATTTGATTTAGTGTCTTGTTCTGTTCAATATGGTTAGTTGACATACTGTTTTGCCAGTGAAATAGATAACACGTTCATTGTAATCGTGTTACATTGATAAGCTTTATTGTGTTCATATCGTCATATTAATAATCCATTAACAGAGTACGTGCGTACTGGTCTAGTGCCAATCCTATAAAAAGAAGTGTATTATGATCCTTACCTGAAGCCCTAGTAAAATTTCCGTTTTTCTCTTTTTCTCTCTTACATTAGTATATTTTGTTTTGTATCTATTTTTTATGTAAACAAGTCGATGTCCCATCTTATGGTTAACTGGTAACCGTCGCGTATATGTACATTAACAGTCAAACGGATATTACGGAGATCTTATGTCCCACTGCCACTTCTGGAGATTTTGAAATTTTATTTGTAAGTTTATTTGAATGACAAGAATAAAAGTGCATAAAAAGACTAATACTAAATGTATTCATATTCATCAGCATCATTTTCATCACATTACTCGGCACAAGTCTTTATCTATATGTGAAGGTTGTTAGTCAAGTATTATTAACTAGAGATCTTGCACTAATTAATTACAATGTATTACCAGATCTGTGTCGCTAACATAATACATGTTTATTGCAAATAAATCATTATGATTGCGAAATGTATAAATAACGTATCAGCATATGCAATTAGACATTTTGTAAACACGTTATTGCGAAATAACAATTTTGTAGCAAAAGCATTTTAGATGGTCGCAGTAATTTGCCCAGTTTTAAATACAAAAATCATGTGTTCTAATCATAAAAACTTTGCATGTCAATTCATATTTCTGATTATCTATCTGGTGATGGAAATATAAGTAATATGCCGAGTTAATCCAAGTGATTGCGGTAGGCTCACCCCTTATGTTGGGTTCGAATAACCCCGCAAAAGGGTCCATTTCAACTGTTGTATTCACCATAGTGTCGGCAGCTGGTAACCTTGCTGACATGCCAATCCGGGAAGTCGTGAAGTTATATTATTATTAGATACATTTTACAATAAGTATACTTTGTTACGAGTACATTTTCCTAAGGTGGAGTGTAGACTTATTTGTCATTCCAGAGAAAAAAAGCATTCTAATAATAATTATGAATTTGTAAAGGTTTCAAGGCATGCCGGGTTGACCTGCACCTTCTACGTCATACCGGGGTCAGCGCTCTTACTACTCTTGAAGGTTCAATGTATACATACATCCTATGTTCCTTGTGAAAGTTAATTTTGCAATATGGAATTTAACCAGGATTTGAAGTTTCTGATCGTCTTTCATTTATATTGATAGATAGATAGGTAAGAATTATTATTATAAGACCTTACTTCATACGAACATTTCTATATTAAGGACTCCAACCAGAGAACCAGAACCAGACTTATGTATACAGTGGGTTGCCAAATTAATAGGGACAGTCACATTTTTTATAATTTTTGTTCTTCAAGTGGTCTTGACTACGTTTTTAAGTGGTAAAAGTTTTTTGCTGATATGTTTTTATGTTCACCTTGTCTCTATAACTCAAATTCAAAGTGAATTTCAAGTGCTGAGAGATTTGTTTATTTTGGAAATATATTTTAATGACGGGAGAGACACACAGTCGTTCACACGTGTAAAAGTGAAACACGTAAATTATTCTTTTAAACAGTTCTTTAGTGGTTTTGTGAAATAATCAATACCTGCAAGTAAGTAATATTTTACTATAATTAAAATTAAAGTATTTTGGAGCGGATTTTAGAACAATTTTAATTTATTTTTATATTTTCAGCTTTGGCTATGGGTCGAGGGGTAGATTTGACTCCGAGAAAAAATCCGAGGTTAAAACCCTTCTCCTACACACAAATCACTCTCAGAGGATGATAGCACAACTGGCCGGGATATCGAAATCTGCCGTCAATAAAATAAAAATAAATTTAGATCAAAATCAGCCACTTTCGCCCAAAAGAAAAGGCAAATGTGGCAGAAAACGTATCACAACAACACGTTCCGATAGGAAATTCGAGATATCTGCTTGCAAAACAGAAAGAAAAGTGCTGGATTTTTAACTCAGATAGTACAGGAATCTGGAATACGTGTTTCAAAAAGAACTGTACAGCGAAGGTTGGCAGAGGAAGGCCTGACAGGTCATCGTCCAGTTAAGAAACCCCGATTAACAGAGGCGATGAAAAAGAAAAGGCTTGCTTGGGCTCGTGAGCACCGCCTGAAAACTGTTGAAGACTGGAATAAGGTCAGTTCTATGGTTAATTTTATTTGTGTTATATAAAATCATATTTACAAAAATTATAAATAGTTTCTATATTTTTTTAGGTATGTTTCTCAGACGAGTCAACTTTTGAAATTCTGGCCAACAAAAGTAAGTTCGTGAGGCGGCGCCCAAGCGAGAAATTTCATCCTGATTGCATAGTGGAACGAATTAAACACCCTGTAAAAATAATGGTATGGTCTGTCATCAGCGCAAAAGGAGTTGGGCGTCTCTATATCGTCCAGGGAACCATGAGACAGGACCAATACAAGCAAGTATTAGAAACTCGCCTGTTGCCGCAACTTCAGGAATGGTTCCCGAATGGGGAGGAATTCGTGTTTATGCACGATTCAGCTCCATGTCATAAAGCGAGGAGTGTAACCAAATTTTTGGAAGACCACAACATTCCAGTTTTACCTTGGCCTGGCAATTCTCCTGATATGAATCCCATAGAAAACTTGTGGGAAATTACCAAGGCGGAAATTGCTAAGGAAATCATAACTACCAAAGTAAAACTAATTGAAAAATTAATAAATGTATGGTTTCACAATCCCAAAATAAAAGAAAGTGCTAAACAGTGTATTGAAAGTATGCCGAGGCGGATTCAAGCACTGATAGAAGCAAAAGGAAATGTGACAAAATACTAATAATTTCCCATCATCATTTTTATTATACTTGTTTATATTTTCTAGTTGTTCAAATATTAAATTATTATAGTCTAAATTCATTATAAGATATGTGTCTGATATTATTAAATATAATTATAGCCTAAAGTGACGTTTTTAATTAATTATAGACCAATGTTTTACAAAAAACGAATATTTCGTGACTGTCCCTATTAATTTGGCAACCCACTGTATTTTATCTTAGTACATACATGTAGGTTCAATTACAAGCAATATACATTTTGTGAAATCAATTTAGTTAAAACATATTAAAATAAACCAATTTACTTCTTTAAGTGCCTTTGTTGTCAACACGTGATATTTGATTATGTTACAACCGTCCTGTCGCTGTCAGTTTACTCATGAATCTAATTTCTATGTAATAGCGGAAATACCACATTTGTGCACTCCTGAGTCATTTTAATTTAATACAAAATAATAATTATGAATTAAATTTTGTTTATGTTCTTACTCTACTAACCTAATCGATAAGTATTATTACTAATATGCGTAGAATCCGATAGAAATAAATAAATAATATTTTTGTTGTCATCATGACCTTGCGCAATGTTATTTGCGTGTACTATTTGCAGTCGGCATAGATTTTCCTGTTTAGTCTTCCTGTCAGTTGTTACTTCTATATTCGCTTTATGAACTGGTTGGAGTTTTTTTTAATGGATGTGATCTTTTCGTCTCTGTGATGTATTCATTAAGAGCCTCTAAAAAAGCCAAGATGGTTTTCAGGTAGCGGTCGAACTAACAGTGCTACATTGCTAACAATAGATCCAATAATTCCCATTACCAACAATTCGTCCCTGAAGGTACAGTTAGCTTTAGCAGGTAAATTTGTTATTACTGTTCTTTCACCTATTTCTGTATCATTTGGACTTGCCAACGCTAACGGCTCGCCTAGTGAAAAATGATAACCGGCACTTACATGAACAGCATCATAGACTTCGATGCTTATAACACACGTTACCATACTTGAATTAGCTTACTGCTGTTAGACTGTTAACGAAAATGTTATTTCCTTTAATATTGAATTACGTCAAGTAATATGCGGTATAACATCTTATATCTGGAATGGTAATGCATGGTCTAGCTTCGTATGTTGATGAGATATCCATAGTAATGTTCATGTAGAAGCGACGGTAGCCACTTACAATCAGATGGGATGGCAGATGTATTATCGATTTGAATTACGATTATTTAGTATTCTTTATTAGAATTATAACCATAATTCTTCCTTCATTCCTTTTTTTTCATAACTCATTTCATGTTCTCTCACATTTCGGATCTGGTAGCATTTGATTTCTTCTTCAAGACAGCAAAAGATGCAACTAATCATGATCAGTCAGTTAATTCTAATTGGATTGCGTCAAAATTAAATGCATTGATTATAAATTCATTTAAGCTACTAATAAACCAAATTACCAATTCAATATACTAAATCGTTTTTATTGAGTTTGTTTCATGTTTCCTTTGACACGATTAACCATTGATGTAGAATTCCGTTGACGTATATGTATGTATGTATGTATCTACCAAATATTGTCTGTAACTATTTCGCGTTCTCACATATAACACGTGTTTCAAATTGACTTTGGAAAAGTTCTTTATTAGACTGTTTTTGTTTACCCTTTTTGTTGTCATCTTAATCAATTTCTATCTATAAGTATATAAGCTATTTGTTCTATAATTAATTAAATTTAATTACTTGTAAATGTTTTTTGTATTTGTATTTGCCCTGTACACCAGGCAAAATAGCTTTGTTCATGCGAGCTTCCAAAATTTCGCTTGTGAAAATCATATTAAAAATTTAATAAGTCTAGATTCGTGTTGCGATTATAAATTGTATTGTTGTAGTTAGCTATGTTCGCTTATCAGAGAATGCATTATCAATGTGTTGGATTGTGTGATTCGTTCAGCGTCCAGTTCGTTGATATCGGTAATGGATTGTTACGTCAGAGGTATTATATTTATTTATAGTTTTATCAAATAGTTTCCTTTTTTTATAATTTTGCTCGATTTACTGACTTGTAAATTCATGTTCTCCTATTTGAATTTTATATTGTTTATATCTGTTTTTGAAAATATATTGGCTTAAATGTACTATCTCGTTTCAATATTTCTTATTTCGACTGATACGTTTTATTTTCTTCTTCTCTTTTTATCAATTCAACTACTGGTATATATATTATATTATATGACATCTGGTTAAAATAATTCAAGATATACGTTATCGTATTTTCATAACGTATATATATATGTACATTATAGAATAATTTTATTAATACATTGATGTGTAATAGTTTTGCATTTACCACTCATTACAATAGATTTTACATTTAGTGTTCTCTACTTATCCCGTACGTGTTATGGAAATAGATACCAAAACAATTTTTGAATATATTGTTTCTTTTATGTGACGTACAAATCAAACTATTTTAGCTGTAAATAATGTAGAGCTAATGAATAATAATAATTATTATCGTAATTGTCCTAGTTGCCTAAATTTCTACTATAAAATGAAAATTGCGTCTAACTTATACATATAAAGTATTAAATAATGCATCAATAAAAAATAAATTAAAGAAAGAATGTAACAAAAACTAATGTTACAAAACAAAATACATTAAGCAATTAAGCAAACAAGTCTACCGCTGCCTCGCAAGTATATCCGCACAAACTGGATACTTGTACGCTATCAGCGCTGCTGCAATCAGAACTCGCCCGCCGAAACCGAAAGTGTGCCAAAGAGAGGTACAAGTTGGCCAGTCACTGGCCTTGCCCTCCTTGCGGTGTTACGTGACGCCGTAATAGTTGCAGAGGTGCGACGTGACCGCACATGAGATGTTTTGACGCGCCTCTTAACAATGTATATAGATATCATTAGCCTAATTATTGTATTTGTCAGTTCCAAGTACAAAATTGGCCGACTTTTGTACTAATTTTGAAAACTACAATGGGTTTGAATATTTTGTTTTGTATTATAAGTTGTTTATCAAATATCTTATCACTATTAGTGTCTGCCCGTGACATCGTCCGAGTAATCATGATTGACCGGGATCAAAGTAGCCTATTTTCTTTTATCTACCATCACTATTATATTACCACATATTATATATATTTATAGAGCGATAGTAAGTGATGGTCCCAATCATATATCTTAATCAGACTCTGCTATCACTATAAAATATATGACTTTTAATAAAATACATTATTTGTTACAGATCTGGTTCTACTAAGCCCCGGCGTCCTGACCGTGCGGTTTATGTACCGAGAGCTTTACGAGCAGCAGAAAATATACCAGCAGAAGATTCCAAACAAGAGACTGACCATAGACGAACGAGCCATAGTGCAGACGGACCCAAGTGTCCGAAATCGCCAGCGGCAAAAGAGAAGTTCTCGCATGGCACTCCAAGGAAGTCTCTAGACAAAAACTTTTGCAATGTGTACACACCACCTCATCTCAGGAATCAAAGATCTCATACAGCTCCAAGCATAGACCAACCGACGGCGAGCGATACAAACGAATCTGTGCCTTCAGCTTGCCAAGTGCCAAATAGTGATAGTGCAATACCTTTTAGTGATAATAGTTATAACGAAGTAGTAGTAGGAGAAAATTTTTATATACGTGATTACTTTGCGAATGGCCAGCTAGGTTTCTACAGTCCATATTATAGTGAGTATTCGGAAGACTATATTGACAACGACTGGAGACCAAATGAGCCGGACGAAACAATGGCCGTGAACGAAGGGAATCAAAGCAATATTATTGATAAAGATTATTTATATAGTAAAGACGAGGACGTCGAGAAAAATGAATTGAAACGGGCCTCGCAGGAGATAAATAGAAGCAGCAAGAGAATAATCAAACAGAGTTTTCATTCTGATGTCCTAGTCATATCTGATCCTGTTGAGGAGTCTAAAATTGATAAAAATGAAACAGTCTATGTGGCAGATATCAAAGAGCCCGAGCCGAAGAAATTAAAGCCCAAACTAGAAGCTAAGGTGTCTTTGAAACGTGAGGAGAACGATTGGGATGCAGTTTATGATGACAGCGGAGAATGTTTGGACCCGTCTTTTCTGGAGGAGTTAACGTCAACGGTTGGGAAGGTGCATATAAGTAAAGCGAAGAATAACTACGAACAGTACCAGACGAAGGGGCAGACGTTATTCAATGGGCCGATAGATGAGACGTTCGCTCATGTTGTGGAGGTGTATGACTTCCCAAGCGAGTTCAAGACGAATGATCTTCTATCGGTGTTCAGCGATTATAAGGACACGGGTTTCGAGATAAAGTGGGTGGACGACACACACGCGTTGATAGTCTTCAGCAGTGCCAAAATTGGTAAGTTGATATTATAATTATTAATGAAGCTACAAAAGTATATACTAACAGATACCTTTTCTTCCAACTATTCTAATGCTGTTGGCCTTAATTAGCACTGTAAAGACAAATGTTGAAGGAAATAAATTATCTTATCTATCTAATTGTTAGCTTCACTGGACAAAAATACCACAACTGTTGACTGACGTAAATCCCAGTTGGGGGTAGTCATTGGCATTGTCAACTATCGATCTTGTGGTGAACTCTATAATTCACATTCGCTCGATATATTTGTAATTCAATGAGGCAAGGTCTAGCCTTAGTAATCACTTATTTGAAAATGAGAAGGTTTATAAAGAAACTCTTTTTTATATAGAAATATAAACGTTAATAAAAAAAGGTTCTTATGCTTGAGTACTATTTTTCATTACTAATTTCTAGTTTGTGATGGTAGAAGAATCAAACTGAGTTAAGCAATTAAAATAACTGATGCCGCCACAATACCTTTCAACTTTTTATTAGTAAAGTCTCTTCTCTTCTTTTCGTTTTAACAGAAATTTAACAAATCGCGTTATTCATAATCTGTTATGAACACATATATTCATTATATTTTCAATACTTAAGTAAAATTGATAAATTATGTGTTCATACTGTAATGATTTAACATTATCTCATTAACGACTTAATCTAACGTTATTGACATTAAAGATAACATCTCTGATTAAGTTGTTATTCCAACTTACTTATTAATTAGTATAACTGTTAAATCATAAATAATAACAAGAAAACAACATTGAGCTTAGATATAAGCAACAATGTGAGTGATGACTTGACCCCAAACATTCAGTACAAGGAAAGAACATTATTTCATCATACTGTATAGTTTTTTTTTAAGAATTGTATTGATGCATCCGCCTGCGCTAACGGTTTACGCTGGCGGGGCACCAGTGGAGGAGGATAAGATGAGCATGAGGTCAGATCAGTTAGGACATCGTGACAAATTCTCCAGGATGGTTTCCAGGACCACGTGGAGGTCGACTAGACATGGCACATTGCTAGGAATGTGGTTATCATTCTACATTACTAACAAACACCTTTCCCGTTCCGTTCCATCAAAAATATAATTTCTTACTCTTATCTCCTAAAAACTACACTATTACAAACTACTCCACTATTTACAAGAACTACAGTTTGTTTTTATAACCATGGACCATACACACAGCGGACATATAGTCTCAAGCCAAGTAGAGCTTGTGTTATGGGTATTAGACAACTGATATATATATATGTATTTTATTTTTGTAAATACGTACTTAATATATACAGAAAACATCTAAACCTATACAAACAATCATATTCATGAATACAAATGTTTGCACCGTGCAAGCAATCGAACCTACGACCTCGGAAGTAAGGTGTGCTAATCCGGCTATACCACCGAGGCCATCACGGTTTGGTGTAATCAAACAATTGTATTAACTGCTTGTTCTGGATTAAGTAACTTAATTTCCGGTGTTCGAGTTGCAGTTGGATAATGAAATTATCTTTCTGTTAATCTTGATAGCATTACATACTGTGCTGAAAATTACAATGTTGTTTGTAATATTTTTATAACTTAGTAATAATCTGAAATGAATTTATGATAGTTATTATTGTAATATACATGATATATACCTACTATATATCCCGTTAAAGCTTTGTTGAAAATAATAGATATAAAAAAATAAGTATCGACATATCGGGAACTCAATAAATATAAAAAGTGGTAAGATCCCGTGATTTTTACTAATTATCGAAATAAGATTTATGAAATTACGATGCAAACTGCTAGCAAATCGACCTATTTACTTGAAGAGAATTTTTAAATCGATGAAAAAGTAATTTGAAGTTTAAATTAAAATGTCTTTATAATATAGGTACGGCAGTCTACCTCTGACTGCGTTAACAGTCATGAAGATATTATTGTTTACATTTATTACTAACTGTTTCCTGCGACTTCGTCCGCGTAGTATTTACCTATTTCTTATTAAAATAATAAAAATTTCTAAGTTACTCCTAAATAATAATAGTAATCTATACATATAAATAATATATATAGATTACTATTATTTTAATGGAGTGTCTGTTTGTAATATTGAAATAACCGTTTTTTGCTACATGCATATGAATATAAATACGGTACATACACCAAAATTCCATTTTATTAAATTTTTGTCTGTCTGTCTGTTTGTTCCGGCTAATCTCTGAAATGGCTAGACCGATTTTGACGGGACTTTTATTGGCAGGTAGCTGGTGTAATAAGGAGTAACTTAAGCTACTTTTATTTTAAAAAATAAAGTTAAATTCCACGCGGACGATGTCACGGGTACAGCTACTTAATAATATAATGTTAGCTATCTGCGAGAGGAAATCTCGTCAAAATCGGTGTCGTATCAAATATTAGCAACGACAAACAACTCATTTTTTTTTAATTATGTTGGAAAAGGCCTCTAACTAGTACGAATGTTAGCCTATGAATATTTAAAAAAAAATATGATCATAAACTATATTTAAGTTGTAAATATTGGATCCAAAATAAAAATTATTATTATTATTATTGTTATTATTATCAGGTGAATCAATTATGCAATGGCCATATACGGTAAGCCAAATTACAGTCGGAACAAAATAACATTTTCCACAGTTTCGCGTGATGTCCGAACATAAAACGTTTTTGTAATATTAAGTTTATTTGTTTGCGGTTTAGTTCGCAAACAAACTTTCAATACCACTCGCATGTTTTATAGTTGTATATTTCGATTTTTATATTCTACTTCTATTCGTGATGAAACTGAGTTTTATAAGACTCAGATAAATAATAATGATTACTAGTAGTTTCCCAGTGATCACAATTTGACCATAATTAATTTAACATTCAGTAAGATTATAAATAAGTAATATTAATCTTTTCTCAATTTGACCACTGATTTCAACAATAAACAAAAGAGTATATTTACGTGTGTGGGTCAAATACATTTCTTAAGCCTAATTAAAAAAATATTAGCTTTTTTCACTCCTTTACTATATCCTTACTAATATTATAAATGCGAAAGTAACTCTGTCTGTCTGTCTGTCTGTCTGTCTCGCTTTCACGCCAAAACTACTGAACCGATTTAAATGAAATTTAGTACGCAGATAGTCTAGACGCAGAGGAAGGACATGATATATATATGCGTAAAAAGGGTTGTAAGGGGTTCAAAATGGAAATACAAGGTTATCTTTATGCGGTTGAATCCTTATTCGTCATCTTTTCATTTCACTAGCTAACAACCAATCAACGCATCGCGTGCGTTTGCGCCATTCACCATCTTTTCATTTCACTACCTAACAACCAATCAACACATCGCGTACCTTTGCGCCAATAAGGTATCCATCACAGAGAACAAAACCACAGATAACATAATGTAAAACGAAAGATATTGCCGGAAACATGACGTTGACGTTTAGTGAAAATATTGTTTTTTGACACTTTTTTATGATAAAATCGTATATCGTGTGTATGTGTTTTTTCTTTAAACCTGAAATTGGCCGATTGCGAGACAAATTTGGCGATTTTTTTTATTAATTTGTTTTACGGCTCTGGATAAGCCCAGTTTCTTAACTTAAAGTTTTACAATATAAATTACAAAAATTAAAGTCAATGTCCAATGTTAAATAATAATAAATGTCAAATGTTATTTCCCTGTTCTGACAAACTTAAAAAAAAAAACTTAATAACAATCACAATTTCTTCACATTTTATTATTTACATTTTTTAATATATACTAATGTTGTGGTGTGAAAACTATCCGAAATTAAATTATTTACCCATTTTTGTAGGTTATACAGAAATAATGTGTGGGTGTTTATTTAAAAAGCATTAACATAAAATTAATAAAGTATAGGTATTAATAAATATATGGTTGTTGTATCAAAATAGAATTTTCTTATTTTTCACTAAAATAAAAACTAACTGTCTTTTTTATAAAATAAATGACCTTTTCATTGTGCCATATATTATGGAACTATTTAAATTATTTAGCTGATTGTAAGAAACAAAATGTTGGTTTGTAAATTAATACTGTAAAATTATTATTTGTACGGAAACGATAAAAATATATTTTTGTGCTGCGACAAAAACTAATATTATAAATGTGAAAGTAACTCTGTCTGTCTGTCTCGCTTTCACGCCAAAACTACTGAACCGATTTGAATGAAATTTTATACAGATAGTCTAGATGAGAACGGACATAGGCTACTTTTTAATGCATTGTATTAAAAGGGGGGATGAAAGATTGTATGGAAGAATCGTCATTTGTGAAGCTAGTATTGGAACTTATTTTTGAGACTGTTGATTAAATATAAATAAAAATGACATTCAATGTTTGTAAAAAATTACCCTTAAGGGGGTAAAATAAAATAGGGGATGCAAGTTTTTATATAAATTCGTCACATATAAGCTTAAACTTATTGTTGAGACTGTTGATTAAATATAAATACATATGACATTCATTGTTTGTAAAAAAATATTGTAAAATAAAACCGGATTTTTTATGTAAACACGTCATTTTTGAAGCTAGAAGCTTGAATCTTATTGTTGAGACTTGATTAAATATAAATACATATGACATTCATTGTTTGTAAAAAAAATACCCTTAAGGGGGTAAAATAAAATAGGGGATGCAAGTTTTTATGTAAAATCGTCATTTTTGAAGCTAGAAGCTTGAAACTTATTTTTGAGGCTGTTGATTAAATATAAATACATATGACATTCATTGTTTGTAAAAAAATTACCCTTAAGGGGGTAAAATAAAATAGGGGATGCAAGTTTTTATGTAAATTCGTCATTTTTGAAGCTAGAAGCTTAAACTTATTGTTGAGACTGTTGATTAAATATAAATTATGACATTCATTGTTTGTAAAAAAAATAAAGGGGTAAAATAAAATAGGATGCAAGTTTTTATGTAAAAATCGGATTTTTGAAAAAAAACTTATTTTTGAGG